CTCATTTGCACCTGCTCTCTGGTCTACTTAGCTGTAATTTTGTTCAAAAATATTAATGTCATTCAATTAGAGGTGCAATACAAATCTTCATACCAGGTTTTGATGTCATTTCTGAATATTCTTGAATTACAGAGTGGATATAGAGGAGTAGCTACATTCAGTAGGTCTTCTCAGGAAAACAAAACAAAACAAAAAACAGGCATCTTAGATTACTTCCATGGCTGACAAAAGGGACTGTATGAACAGGAAACAGCAAAGGACTAAATTCTTGAATGGAACATGATTCCAAACTGTTATCAATCATTACCCAGAGACCATATTCCAGAATACCTGAATTTACAATTTCTACTGGTCAATTGCTTTTATATTGTTGTTTTATACCATCAATTTTCCCTGGTAGTATATTTACATATTTGGGCTGACTAGTCTTGTGGAAGGAACCTCAAAGCTAAAATATATTTTAAATATTCTTTTATGCCTCCTAAACATCATTTAGGAGATATTGATTGTAAAAAGAAAAATAAATGTAGCTAATATTTTGCTGCATCCTTAATTTTAGTACCATATATAACAGAATTTTCTCAAGCCTGCTGGGAATTCTGCACTTGCAGTTCTAACTAATCTGGAATATGGCATGTAGGGGAAGACTATTATAAACTAATAATTCATATTTGCAAAAAATCAATCTTTATAATGCCAACATGGAATTAACTATACACAAAATGCCAACCTTAACTGATCTTAAAGAAAAGAGGGGAGGGTCTGAGACCTCATTAATACTTACTGTATATTTATTTTATTTATCATATTTGTAGAGCTTCCCATTTCATATATTAACTCTAAGTATTTGGGAGATCACCAAAACATGTCAGGACTGTACACTCGACCGAGAAGCTGAAAACACATTCTGGAAGTCAAACCACCTCTGCACTGCTGCCATGAAAATTACATGGATATGTCCATGATATCACCAAGCTTCATGAAGGTTTTATCTTTTACATACAAGAAATATCAGCAATTTCTCTGCTGCTGAGTAAATGTGCCATCAATCCTTCTTTGTCTCAGCACACAAATGGTATAATAAAATTGCTACTTATATATTAAAATTAGTTACCTGCAATGCCAATTCCTGATTCCATTGTATCCCTGTCCAAATTGCATTGTTTTGATTTATGGATGCTGGATGCTCTAGCCAACTTGACTCCCCCCCCCCTTCTGACACTTTTGCACCCAGCTACCAAATGTCTCCAACCCAGAGGAAAACATCCACCAGGTCAGGGCACTTTAGTATGAAATGAGTAGGTTGATATTATTACATCATTCCAAGACTCCACCTGTGTTTCAGTGTGCTTGTTTGTCCCTCCTTCCACACCCCATGTGGATATCTCACAAGCTCAAAATAATGTAAAATAAAACATATCGAAAAATACCTCTTTATAAGCATTTTATGTACTGCTAAATGTACTGAGCCACTCCAACTAGATTTTAATTTGCCAATATAATTTGAAATAAGGAAACATGAGGGGAGAAAGAGGAAGGAAATAGATGGCTGTTGGGCAACCAACTCTCCTATAACAGCTGGACAAACTTTTGAGACTGACAACTAGCAATATGGCTAACTACAGTAGTTATGCCCATTACTACTGCAACCCACTCTATATGGAACTCAGAAGTTTCTGTTGTTCCCAAGCACAGCAGCCTAACTATTATGTGGCACTCACCTATAATAGCACATTACTCTTCTTCTACAGGGTTTGCATTGGCTTCCTATTGACTTGAGCTATGATTTACAGTGCTGTGTTAACCTGTAAAGCTCTTTATGGTTTGGCATCAAGTTACTTTCTTGCTTGCTGGGACAAACAGCAGGTGGTTGCCCACTTAGGGAGATGTGGGGAGTTGAAAAATAGAAGTACTGCTTTTCTGTAGCAGTGTTAGACCCCCGGAAAGGCCTTCTACCAGAAGTGAGTTTAGCCCAGACTTTGGCGGCCTTACGGAGCTCAAGATGGAGGTCTTCCACAATGCATTTGAGACTTTGTTTTTTGGGATGTTATGGTTTGCATGTTTAAGGTTTGTATGATTTCAGCTGGACCATGGATGTCTTAATATTCTTTATATTCCTGCAGAGTAACAATATTCCTGTGGCATTGCAGCAGCATATACATGTAATAAATATTAACATTCAGAAAACTAACAAAAGTAAACAGACCCCAAAAGCAGTTACTATGAGTCTGCATGTTGAATTGTGATCTTACACAAGCAACACATTCCCTAATATACAAATAGGAAATACATTAAAGAATGTACAGTATAAAAGCATGCTTTTTGTTGGGCTGAAAATCTACTTGCTCCTATTTGCCATTAGAGAGATTTCTGTCAAAGACATTCTTGACCAGCACGTTATGAGACAGATACATTCAAGTGGCAAATACTTAATTCTGAATTGATTTTTTGTATCAAACTTAACTTTTAAAAAGTCTTTCAGGATGGAGAGTATCTCTAAATAATAGCATTAATCCTTACCTTACTCACAAAAGAATGTGAACTTCCATGCTCTTAAGCATGAAAACAGGTGTACAGTATGTATTTGAGTGGTCTTAGGATTTTATTTATTCTCAACTGCAAAAAGTTGAGAGACGCTGACTTAAATGAATATCACTGAAATGTAAGAATGGAGAAGAAATACTTCCAAGTACATTAGAGAATTACAGCCTTAAACCTGTTGAAATCTATTTAGGCTGAAACTTTTATTTGAAGGCAATGTTAGTATTAACTATGCCTATATACAAAATAAGATAAACATGTACACAATTCTCACTTGTTAGCAATCTGTGTTGTTGGAAAAATGCAATTTTCATCCAATAAACATTTACCTTTCTTTTTAAAAATAAAAAGTTCAGAAATACTTCAGATTGTTACCAGTTCTCACTTGAATTCTTATTTTGTTGTAATTTGAGTAATAAATATCGGTACAAAAGGTAAATGTGACTTTATTGCAATATAATACTATGTCTTAGTTCCTAGCAAATGTTTACTTTTAATTGTTTTAAATTATATATATGGGATGGGGGCAAGTAGCATATGTTTAATTTTCTTTTTGCCCGGATTTCTTTGTAAGTTCCTTACCTCAGTAATCTGCTTTTTGTTACAAACACAATAAATAACACAGGGAATAAACAACACAGAAGTGGTTATTTTTATTTTCTCTGCTGAACCTCTTCAGGAGTCTTGTATAGAAAAAAAAGTGGGGGCAGCCTTTGGCACCCTAATTTTTTTTTAAAAAAATAAAGTTGAGCCTACTGAATTAACAATGTAACAGAATGTCAACAGAAAATACCATTGAAGTTTAAGCTGCAAAGATTATCTTTAAACCAACTTGAAAATAAGTTTGTCTGAAAACATGTATTTACTCTCGAGTAAGGGAGTAAAAGACTGCTAGCACAAATCATTTCACAACGAATATTTCCAAATGGGGTGGGGGGGGGGAGAAGGGGAGGCTTATCAGGGTTCATTTTAAAGCCAGCCTCTTTTTTTTCCTCTCCGCTCCGTCTTTACTTTTCCATGTGGAAAAGGTTATCAGACAAGGCAGGCGAAGAGGCTGCTCCCTTTTGGCGGAGCCATGCACAGATTCTGACAATGTAGTACGCAAGAATTTAGGCTAACATGATACACAGCTTCGGCTTGCACTGAAGCTCAATAAGGAAACCGGACACAAACAAGCACGCATATTACACACACACACACATATCACACGCGACCAGGTCAAAAGTTGACTGCCTCGCCAGCTTCCCTTCGGATCCTTTCTTGTTCCGTCCTGGCAGAGCTGATTTTCCGCCCAAGGTAACGAACAGCGCGAGTAGGCGCCGGAGGGGGAATTAGGTGGGGATCGTCGTGTCCGTTCCTGCTGGGTAAAGGTCCGGGCCGGATTTTGCACCTTGTCCCCGGGACTGCCTCACGGCCTGGAGGAGCTGGAGCTGCTGCGGCTCTGTTTATTGAGCGCTCTTGTCCTGGTATCACTCCGCTGGCATGGACGAGGAGGCGGAGGAGGTGGAAGAGTAACGCACTTGATCCTTGTGATGGTGGCAGAGGAGAAGCAGCGGGCAGAGCAGAGTCCGAGCCGGTCCCTCTGCGTGTAGCAGCTCCGCCGACGCTCTGCCAGCCCTTCAGCCAGCTACCTTTGCAGATCGCCCCGGATTGTTCACGTGTTGATTTCCCCCAGCCGGAGGATTTGCTTTTTTTAGGTTCCTGTTGAAAAATACAACTGAGCAGCCAAAGTACTTTGAGAACACGGTGCGGCATAAACACCCAAACTTTTTTTCCCCTCCCTTTTCTCCCCCCTCCCCCCCGGAAAGAAAACACAATTAAGAAAGCGGCGTTGCCTGTCTTCTGATGGTGCGAGGTGTGAATGCATTGTGGGTTGTACATGTGTCTTCCTTGACCAGTGGGTGCCCGTCCTAGGTGTTTTGTGAACGTGCAAGTGCGGAAAGGTTCTATCTCTACATACCGCTTTTGGGGACGCCTCTCCCCCCCCTCTTTCTGTTTTAATACATGGGGAGGCCAAGAAGGTTTTCGCTCCGGAATTTCTTTCGGAAAGGATGGATTATTTAAAAGGGGAGCAGCTCTGAGCTCTCCTCCTTGGAGTTTGTAACCGAGCGGCGGCGGCGGCTGTGCTCCCTGTGTTCGGATACCTTCTGTGTGTTGATTGTGTCTGGCGATAACCTTACAGCACCTCCGGGTTTGGGCTTTCTGCTTTTGGCGTGGTTTTTTTTTTTTTTACCCCTCCCTCCCACCCGAGAGGATCGGCAAGAAAGAGGTTTTGCTGCGTTGTTTACAACCCCCAAACATTTTTTGCTTGGGTCGGTTAGCGTTTCCATGGCCCACTAGAGAGTATCCCAAAAGGAGGATTCCCCCTCCTTCGGCGTTTCTGCCTGCTGTGTGGAGCCCGCGTGTAAAAGGAGAGGGGGGGAAAAAGTTCTTCCAAAATAGTGTGCACGGTGAAAGGGATGGGGGATTTTCCAACCCCCGCTGCCGCCACGAACGGCAGCAGCATTTGTCTCAACAATAACCTGAGCAGCAGCCTCGGCGGGGCCGGGATCGGCGTGAACAGCGCTCCCCACGGGCCTCCTCCCGGCCACAATGCTACTCATAGCGGCGGCGGCGGCGGTGGTACTAACGGGAGCGGCGGCATTCCCAAACACAGCACCGTGGTGGAGAGGCTCAGGCAACGCATTGAAGGCTGCCGGAGACATCACGTCAGCTGCGAGAACAGGTACCAGCAAGCCCAGGCCGAGCAGCTGGAGCTGGAGCGAAGGGACACAGTGAGCCTTTACCAGAGGACCCTGGAGCAAAGGGCCAAGAAATCGAGCTCCGGCGGTGGCAGCAAGCAACCACATTCGAGCAAACAGCCACAAGATGCCGAGCCTGCTACAGCCGAGCAGAGGAATCACACACTGATCATGGTAAGGGGGCGGGCAAGGGGGCTGGGGGCGGCTGCGGAGCCCTTGTGGGCAGGCGCTACTCTCATTTAGCTCTCGCTTCTCGCCTGAACGGATGTGGGAGTTTGGGAGGGGAGCGAGCGAGGGATGCTTGGCTGAGACCGGGGAATGGGCGGGGAGAGGAAACTTTGGTCCTATAACTAATAAGGGAATCCAGGAAGCAAAGCGGATCGTTTGAAGAAGAGTTGAAAGCTCTGCATGGCGGAGGCGGCCAACCGCGCTCCCCTTTTTTGCCAATTCCTGACAGTTTCTGAAATACCGTAGAAGGAATGGTCTCGTACACACCGCCCGCTCAAGTAGCTTTCCTTCCCAGCCCCCTGTTCCTTAGATCGCCGGACAATATATAGATGGGTGCTTAATGATTCGTATTTTTGGAAGAGCCGCCTCCGGGGTCAGAGCTTGGAGGGTTCGGGGCGTCTTCGGGCGATCTAAAGCAGTTGAGCGAAGCCGGAGACGGCAAGAAAAGGACGCGCGCCTGTGCAAAAGCGAGCGTGGGTACGTGTCTGGAAGAATGAAAAAAAAATAAATTAAAAAAAGGGGGGGGGGAAACAGACTCGCTGCCTCTTTAAATCCAGCGGAGGGAGAACTTGTGGGCTGGCTCTGCAGAGCGGGAGTGACAGCTCTCGGAAGAAAAGTTGGGCAGGCTCTTCCTCGACCGGCAGCGTGAGTGTATGGGTGGTGAAGTAGCCCAATCAAGCCTCTTTAAAGCATCCATCAGCCACTCATCAGCCACCTCGGCTGGATTAAAAAAAACAAAACAACGCGAAAGTTTTCTTGGTCTTTTAAAAGACTCGGAAGAGGAAAAGCAAAGGGGCGGCAGTTCGTCTGTTGGTGGCGTAATGACTCTTGAGTAGCAAGTGGCGTTTCCCAAGACTCGCTGCTAAAACGCGCTCATTATAAAGGGCAGGCAGCGGGTAACACCAGGGGCTAACGAGCTTGTGGGAAAACAAAGTGCACCCTGTTTAAGCTTTTATTGAATACCTTTCAAGAAGAATCATTTCGTGCTAGCTGCTCTGGCTAAATCGGTTAGCCTCCTCCCCCCCGCCCTCCAAATCTTAAGATTCCACTCTTGGGAGTAAATCTCGTTGAACATCCTAGGGTTTAGTACTGTAGATTTGCGCAGGGCTAGCGGTATTAACCTATTACTAGACCATAGCGGGCAGGAAGTAGGTTAATACCGTTATCCCTGCGCAAGTCTACCGTGCTCGGACTTCACGGTGTTCACCGAGATTTACTCCCAAGAAACATATACAAGAGCGAAATCTTAGATGTGGAGGCTAATCTGAGTTAACGGATCTTTTCTTGTTAATGGCCATTTTCGCGTTGTAGAGTCCAATAAAGGACAGCATAGTTGGAAGAGATTTTGAAATCTTGCGCTTTTAATGCACAGAGATTGTGTACACACTGGAGGCGTCTTACCGGGCCGCAAGCACTAGTTTGGTTAAGGGAGGCATTGTTTGTTCAGTTGGCAGCTGTACTTCCCGGCTTGTTTACTTAAGTCTTTTAAATGTGCATAACTGAATGAGGAAGGATTGCGGCATGAAAGACTTATGCCGTCTTACTAACCATAATTATTAAACCTGTATTCGGCCCTAATCTTCAAGCATGCAAGCAGAAACACACTTACTCGAGAGTAACTAACGGGACCTGCTTACTCGCGACCATATCTCCATAGGCTTCCAACGGCAGACGTTCGGCCAAATTGGCCGAAGTTGCTGACCTCCTCTAGCGCAAGGCCACATAAAGCACGTGCTCATTTGTAAAAGAGAGCGGGCAGTTCATGGTTCATTTGCTTTCTTCTTCCTACGGCTGGTAATGAGAATCGGTAGCTGCCGGGAGACAGTTAAAACATCCCCCGCCCCTGTGCGGTCCTCCCCTCCGAAGGCCACCCCACCAGCTGGCGTCTGCCTGACAAAGCCGGCACGCCTCTCCCTCCCCCCCCTTTTAGGGTGGGGGGTGGGAAACCCGAAGGCGCGGATTGGCGAGGGGGTTAGCCGCAGAGCGACAGCCTGAAAACTTGATGGGTGTTGCGGCGACAAGAGAATGTGGGCGGGTGGCGAGAGAAAGGAACTGATGTTCTCGCCTTGCTAAAGGCAGCGGCGGCGGCTCCTCCCACGACGGGAAAGGAACAATTTGTTGACTGAAACAGTCTTGTTGGCGCTGCGCGCGCGCCTTTCTTGTACGCGGGGCCCGCCTCTTTCCCTCCCACCGCCGCGCGAAAGGCCGACTCCAGGCGGGGCCCGTCGCTCTCTACGTCTCCCGCGAATCCCGCCGCTTTGTCTTCTGGGCAGCGGTCCTTAAGCTTTTTCTAAGCCTTCGCCGGGGGTTCCTTACGTACCCTGGGCTGCAACCTTTATTCTCCTCGGCTCGTCGGGCGTCTTAAATAATGGGAGCTGGACTCCTAACTAATTTGGGAAAGCTCGGCTTAGAGAAGAACTTAATGCTCCCGAAATTGCGTTCCTCCACAGAGCACAGGTTCTGTCAGGTTCTCTCTCTAGACCTGGGTGGAGAAAATGAAACCCGCTTTTTTGCACACCAGAACTCTTACTGGTTTTTGTTTCTCCTGCCATCTAAAAATTGGTTTTAATAAGAATGCATGTAAAATAATTTTGCCTCATGCACATGAAAGATATTAAAGAGGCAGAATTAAAATTCTAACCACCGCGTGACATTTTTATGCTCTGAACAAAACAAGGGAAAAGTTCTCTTGCTTGTAGCAGTCATTTTTATTATTTACACCCCGTCATTTTTAAAATAACTCGAGGCAAACAATACTCCTTCCCTTTTCCCCACAACTAAAAGCCCATGTGAGTTAAGAGTGACTGGTTCAAAGTAACCCTTTCATGCCTAGGGCGGGACTAATAGGGTAGTAACCATTACTAGAACTAGTGACTTGTAGTGACCGTTGCAGAAGATGGGAGCTAGAATGTTGTTGCCAGTACGTTCTCTTGAGGGGTTGATCTTTTTCACCAAGAAATAAAGATTCAATAGCGGCATACAAAGGAAGAAAGAAGGGTGCACCATAAAACTTTGTGGGCGGGCGGGCGGGCGGGCGCGTGAGACGAGAAAGAGCGAGGCCACCCTTGAAGGCAGCGCCGGGGAGTTCTCCAGCCCTGCAAATGGCGAGACTGGCAGAGGAGCGCCCTCAACCCCCAAGCTCGCGTTGCGCACGCTCCGCTGTTGCCCTCGATCAGGCGCGCAAATAGTCTTGCGAAGAAAGGCGGGAAGAAAAGGGCCCACAGATCGGGGAGGGGAAGAGCACACGCAGAAGAATACGCAGGAGAAAGGCGAAGTATAAAGGGAGGCACTTATTTCGCTCGCAAGAAACTCGAGGCTTTGCGTGCTGGCGTTGGTTTAGGCCAGTCAGAAACGCGGGGTGCATGAGCGAAACCTTTTGTTCAGTAATCAGGTTAGGGTTGAGTCCTCTAGCTGTTTCCGCATCTTGCTTCCCAATAGGGTTTGCATTTGCAGTACTACTTAGCGGTCCAGCGGTTCCGTGCAAACCAGGTTCACATTCCAGCCATTTCCTTTCTCTTTTAAACTCGCTGCCCCACTAGTTAAACGGTCGGGTGTTACCCATCGCGGGAAGTGGGACGGTACAGCTCTGTTGAATCTCATTATCATCATAAAGAGATTAGCTGCTTGAATGTGCCCTCTGGAGTAGCTAGCTTTCTCCAACGGAAATCTTAAAAGCAGCTGGTATAATGTCCATTATGGATATTTCTTTCGTTTTAATATTTTCCACTAGAAATTCAGTCACTGTTGCGTTTGCTTTTTTCCAGCTAGGAATAGTAAAATGTAGACAACTTTTTTTTTCTACACAAAAGCAATGATTTTCTTGTTAAAGATGCCAATTTTACAATTCTGGTTGGGGCTGAGCAGGTTGCTTCATGTACGCTGAGTCAGAATTCAGACCTTAGAAGACTCTTGCATGTCAAGAGACCTTAGTTTATCATTAGCCTTATTTATTCATCCATCCATCCATCCCACCTTTATTATTTTATAAATAAGTCAAGGTGGTGAACATACTCAACACATACTCCTCCTATTTTCCCCATAACACATACTCCTCCTATTTTCCCCATAACACATACTCCTCCTATTTTCCCCATAACAACCACCCTGTGAGGTTGGTTGGGCTGACAGAAACTGACCCAAAGTCACACAGCTGGCTTTCATATTTGAAATCAAGGTCGTCTGCTTTCTAGCCTTGTGCTTTAACCATTAGACCAAACTCAAAACATGCTGTAATATGAATTTTAAAAAATAAGAATGTTACTCTAGGGGTGTCAAACTGCCGGCCCCTGGGCTGGATACATCATGCCAAAACTGAGCACTCCATTGTCGGCAATGAAAAAAAAAGTCGCAATATGTCGTAACACGTCACGTGACTGTTGCGAGTTTGACACCCCTGCTCTACATGTGTAAGATTTCCCTTTTATATGAAATTAAAATTATAATCTGATGGCAACGTTTGAAGTGGTTCTGAGAACTCCTTTCAAGCATTCATATTGGGGACCATTGGCTTAGGTCAGCGGTGCCAAACTTGCAACGTCACATGATGTATTGTGACGTATCGGGACTTTTTTTCCATTGCCGGTTTCGACATGATGCATCTGGCCCACAGGCCAGCAGTTTGACACCCTGGCTTAGGTTAATGCGAATCCAATCAATCTGCTTTGCTGCTGACTAAACTTAGGGCTCGTACTTGGGGATATTTGTATTAAAATATTTCCCTTCATTATAATTCATTATTATGAATACTGTTTTTAATAGCTGTAAAAAAGAGAGCTTCAGTTATAAGATAGTCAGGAGCATAGTACTTCTTATTGACAAATCTGTGGTCAAGATTTATATTTTTGAGAATTTTTTTGCAGTAGGTAGCAAATCTTTTTTTAAAAAAATAATAGGAAGATGCCAGAAATAGTGTGAAGTCTTCTGTACTACTTTTAAATCCAGTTTGC